TTTTGTGTCTGTTGTACGTTCGCTGTCAGTATAAGAAATGCTGTGGGTTCCTCTGGTTGTTAATCCCTACGGCTTATAACACCCCAAAACCACAACCAAGTGATTATTTCAGCAGGAGATCCCGTACAAAGAAAAAAAGGCCCTCTCCGGCTCCTAATGGTAGTGGTAGTGTCAGTGGTAGTGAGTAGTGAGTAGTGGTAGTGGTAGTGGCAGTGGTAGTGGTAGTGGTAATGAGTAGTGAGTAGTGGTAGTGGGTAGTGAGTAGTGGTAGTGAGTAGAGCGGATTTCGTATGAGTGGGACGCCGTTACCGCACGGTTAACGGACCTGGCCTGCACAATTTTGGTGAACCAATGGGACACTAGAATTTGGTTACAGTACGATTACGGTCACAGTACTGTACCGTCCGTTTCCCACTCATACGAAATCCGCTCTAGTGAGTAGTGAGTAGTGAGTAGTGAGTAGTGAGTAGTGAGTAGTGAGTAGTGGGTGTCATTAATTGATTTACTTTTCATGGGCTAAAACATCCCCATCCACTTCACTATACTTAATCCTGCGTGAAGGAGTATGCAACATTATTTCCAGGAAGATTAAAGTACTCATTCCAGGACTAACGAGGGGRKTTTATTTACAGGTCCAGCTGCCACTGAGCTTTGTTTGCGGCCAATCCTGTTTCTACAACCGACTTGAGTTTTCTTCCTAAACTTACACTCTGTGGAAATGAAATGACGTGCGCAATTTGTTAAATCTTCAATATCCTCATTATCATCATCGCTCATGCCATAATGATCATGTAATAATGATCCAGATCCAAACTATTGCAATCGTAAGTTATGAAGAAGAATTTGATTAATGAATGGCAAGTATCATTATCTTGAAGTCTGGGGATTTTGCGACGAATAGGGTGTAACATGGTGGTCAAGGCAACTGTTTGAACAGAATATATGTATTCTCAGGAGAGCTGATCGTTCCAACAACTGAAAGTCGTTCTTCATAATTTTTTTTCTGCCTAACAAGATCGCTATTCATGTTCATTCAGTCAGACTTGTTTGTGTCCCGCGAGGCACTGGATCGTGACGTATTACCACAAATAATCCGCATTTCAATAAGAGCGYGCGTCAATAAATAAAAGCATGCGCAGCTCTTTCTTTTCTTCTCTCGAGCAATAGTTGGGCAGCCCATTGTCATTGGTTGTAACAAGTTGCATCTGTAAGTATGTATGTATGACTTATTCGTTATACATCTCTCACAAAAAATCCAAGCAAGACCTTCGAACTTTAAGTAATGCCCCGAGTAAGAACTAGGGAAGCAAACGGCGGCACAGGAATGCAAGAAGGTGCTAATTGCGCATTGTATAATCCATCCGTCCCATTGGTTAAAACATGAAAATCTGCTATAAYTTCACAAGTTAGCGMATTTTCTAATATTTTATTTAATGTCTGTTTTCGCTTTCATGAAAGCTTTCTTTAGCTTTAATATTAAGGCAATTCTATGTGGGGAACATTGCAAATTARAAGCATCTTTTGGCTATTGTTTTGAGTGCTTATGATTGGATAAGAGCTTTTAATACAAAAGAAACTTTGTTTGAAAATAGAGTTTATCCACATTTTATTTCAAAAATGTGTTACCCACCGATGGATACATAATCAGTGTGAAAACCAAGACATTCGTACATGGGGAACTTGCTATGCCGAAGAACAATAGAGAGTTCCCTAGTTCTTTAGCGCATTGTTACGAAATGAAATTAAAACATAATAAATAAAAAAATTTTGAATTATTAACATCAATCAATCAACCAATCAATTAATCAATCAATCAACCAATCAATTAATCAATCAATCAACCAATCAATTAATCAATCAATCAATTAATCAATCAATCAACTAATCAAGAATAGATAAACATATTAGTGAAGATTCCTTTTTATTAGGATCTTATAAATCATCTTATACCTATGGAAATATTTACACCCAGAACACTTCATAATATATTACAATACATTGATTGCTTCAATCTCTATGTATGGGTTATAAATAGATATTTATAATATTTATATTAGCGTTACTTCGATTTCTATTTTTATGTATTTACAAACAAAGCAGGCCATGATATAAACAGCCCCTTTTCATGTGATGAGCACAGGGACCCCAATATTGACTATGAATGGAATACCTCATTTCATAGAGTACAGATTGTGCCACAAACATAGTAGTACATAATAGCACTAAATGCAGCTGGCTATAAGTGRATGTACTTCAGGTGACTATTGTTATGATGTATAGTGAGAAAAAAGCTAGAGTGGTTTTCCTTCGACTGCAAAGAAATGATCATGCTTCTTTTATTTGTCGATACTGAACACAACAAAGTAGTTATTTTTACTAGAATACAATAAGCAAAAACCATAAAAAAACTCAGTAGTTAATTAAATAGTGCTAAATTGTACTGTATTACRTGAATTCCCCGGTTAAATATTTTATAGTCTACATCAAAGAACATTGTATCAGGACTGGAGCCGACGGGTCCCAGCCAGCTGTAAGTCACAACTGGTTGCCACCGAGAAATTCACTTTCTAATGATTTTTGCCAGGAAAATAAAAATTTTCTGACTAAAAAAAATATAAGCCATTTTTGACCATAAAGACGATATATAAGGCTTTTTTGATCTTAAAAACGTTTGCCAGGAAAATCATTTTAAAGGAAGGACGTCACGTTKTCTTGTGAGATTGTCAACAATGTAGCTCAAAATCCCTTTCCCAGGAAAAAAAAATCAAACAAGAACAGTTATTTAGAAGAACAGACTCGGCTCCTCCTGTTGTATAATACGATTTGGTTAGTACAGTAATACTAACTATTAGTTTTCGTATTATTTCAAGGAAAACCACCCTAGTTTGAGCTGTATCGGTGTTTTTAATGGAACAGTTGCAATAAAATGATAACCGTAAAAGAAAAACGGCAACCAATATATCATCCCTTTCGCGATGTATGCATTCGTTGCATTTAACCCGTGAAACACTACTATAACTATTGGTGTGCAATGGATTACACTAAAGCGCGAAAAAGTACCAGTCAAATAGTGCTAATTTGTGATAGAGTAATTTTCATCCGTCTGTGAAATAGGTATTGTACTATTAAATACTATATTAATCCCCTATTAATTCCCAATAGTTTAACTTATGACATGCGACAAACTAATTAGGCAAACACGGTTTTGATTTTGCCTTTTGGTAGCATACTACACCCTAATAATTACTATTAAACACTGACTAGTAGTAATTGTTTAAAAGACGGAAAATGAAAATGACTGTAATGCACCACTTCTCCAGTCGAAACAAAGAAAAATACAAGGTATTCTGATAGTCCAGAGTCATTTAACTATTTCACGGGTTAAGTGTAACAATCAATTTCATCACAGGTATACATCATGGGGCACCTATAAACACCACAGTGGCACATATTCAAACAATTATTTTTAGTTTTGTTGTTAGTAGTGCTCATAAAATTTATAGCCGACTCTTTGGATCCATTTCCGTCCAGCAGAAGAGTAGATTTTCAGTGAATGACGCAATGAATGTCATTATAATGTTGTATCTATTGATTTGGTCACATATTCGTCTTATTAAATGACGATTTATTTTTATCTCTAAGAAATATAATATATAGATCACTGATAACCTTTATTCCCAGCCACCATGTTATTTCTTTGTGGTCAATTTTGATTTTCAAGATTTTTTTTCATAAAATGTTGCATCACGTTTTTCAATAATTATTTATCGTTAAATATAAGATATTTTTCGTGTTTCATCCTGTTAAAAAGAAGCGCGATTTTTGGGATATCACGAAAAAGGTTTGATTCGTGAGCTGAAAGCGAGTGATTCAAAACCTTTCCGAACGWTCCCCGACAATCACAAGTGTTTCTAACAGAGATTATACAATTTTGGATAYATAACGCGCGTGCTCTGATTGGCTGACGACCGTGTTTATATCAGAGGAAGAATTTGTCTTTCGCTCGAAAAACGCAGAAAWTTTTTTACAAATTTCGCACTTGAGAAGCAAGAGAATCAAGAGAAACGAAGCTTGCTTCTCTCGTGATTTTCAACTCCCCCGTGTTTATATTAGAAGACAGAGACATGCGCACCGTTTTATATTTCTTCAATAAAAAAACCTGCAATATCGTGTAATTCTTCTATAAAATAAAAATATCTTTGCTTGAAAGCCGTTTTTCTAGTGCTCTAATAGAAACACGTCTTTTTTTGCACATTTCTGYTTATCTGCGTTATGTAATAGTTATTTTAAAATCCTTGTTGGAAACCATCCGCTCTAATTCATAATAATAATTTATTTGCTCTCACTACAAGAGGATATAACACAACAGAGCTTGGTTCCAAATTAATGCACCACTGAGCTATGGACAGAGATCTTAAGGTGAATATAAATAAGACAACATTAAAAAATACGATATAAGACAAAAAATAAATTAAAAACTTACCTACACAAACACTCTACAGATGGGTYTAATTGTCTAATGACAATACTATGACGTTTAAAGACATCTTTCCTGGCGTATTGCGCTGTCTTTTTAAGGGCAATTAAAATTGAATTAAAAGAGAGCATTATGTGTGACGCACATTTACAATTAAGTAAAAGCGTTTTTAAAAGCCTGTTTGACTGTCACAGAAAATTACGTAGAAATAAAACGAAAGAGTCAGCTATATTTATAAAACGTATGTATATATTCAGACCTATTCATAAATTAAATAAAAAATCGCAAGTTCCTAATTTCCGCCAACGATGAAACTGCCATCAATTGACATCAACTCTTAACATAGAATATCAAATCTACAATTAATAACTATTCTGCGATTTCTCCGCAATGGCTATTAGGCCTTAAGCGTTTTAAAAAGTACATTTTGTCGAAAACAAGAGCAGCAATATTTAACAGCACCAACCCATTTAGCTAAAACTCCAGCTGAAACATATTCTGATGGCTTCTATGGTCATACTGTGTTCAGGGGCGACCATTTGTTTTTTGGAACATCCAGTTCCGATGGCAAACATCACAGCATAATGCCCTCAATTTATCTATTCTATTGTTTTTAAAAATATCAAATATGTTTTATGAACTCTAAATAAGCATATTTTTAAAGCGTTTGATTTATGTTCAAATCTTATTTGGTAAGATATGAACCTGATGATGTAATGTATATGTTAGCGGACAGAGTTTTTGCAATCGACTCAATCAACAAAACGTTCCTGGTACCCTATTAATAACTATATAATGATGAAAATAGCAGTAATATCAATAACTTAAAACTTACTAGCCTCTATAATTCTTTGGCTGAATTTGGACTACCCGATAAAGATATAGAGCATAAATTGAAATTAGACCACTTTACGCGATATTCCTTTCGAATGGTAACGCACAGGAACTGAAAACGGCGCTCAGGAGAAACAGAAGAATTGTTTGGCTTCCCCTGAGCGTTATCTGTTTTGCGAAATTTCGAAAGTGGATTTATTAGTAAATTTTCCGAGTGGATCTTGCACTTCAGTGGGCGATTGTTGAAGTGTGAATTAGCCATTTTTATGTTATAAAATGAATTGTAATTTCTGTCATATTGAGCCAATCGAAAAACTAACCATATCGCTAAAAAGACTTTATCGACTTTAGTGTAGGTTCCAAGTTACAGATCATTTGGACAAATATTCAATTAATGAGAAGCCGTGCAATTTACAGAGAATGTATGGCGATTTTGACCGCGTCCCCCAAAACAATACATTCTCTGTTAATTTGATGAAACTAGAAATAAATA